TCATGGTACCTGGTGCCTGTCCAGGTTAGCATTTATACATTAAATTTTAAACTAAAATTTTGACCGTTGAAAAAAGCCACGTGTCAGTCATCGGTTACTCTGACCGATAAGTCCAATCGTTTCTCTCTCAAACGACGCATCTACTCAAGGACCTGACACCTTTTCACTTCGTATTAAAAGGGGGTCTTTTCTTCTTGAAACTCTCATCCGTCTTTTAAACTTTATCTCTCTCCTCTATCATTAAACTTCTCTCATTCAAAGACAAATCTATCTTCTTCTTCTTTCTGTTCCTTCAACGACCCCTTCTAGTATCACAAACATGTCTTCTTCTTCATCTTCTTCTAAGAAAATGTTGGATGCCCTTAGTGAGATTGAGCCTCTAGCATTCTACACTCCAACAACTGCTCAAGCCAGACTTCCTCCCCCACCCAGTCCTCCTCAAAATACTCCGGATAACCCTTTCTTCTCCATAGATCTAAACACTTCTGCAGTGCCCACTGGACCTGGTCCATGTGAAGACATGTTGCCTGACAACATGTTTGAAGGAGATCTACCAAAACATAGGGCTTTCGAGTCTAATATTCTGGCAGCGAGTGAGGAACTCGTGATTGAAAGTCTGGCAATGATGCGAGAAGAGGCCAGAGCAGAAAACACTGATGTTCTGGAAGAAGAGGTCAGGCCTTCTCAACCCATTTTCGATAAAACCCCCGATTTGGGGCGGTATTCTTCTTCCTCTTCATCTGAATCTGCAAATGAGGAAGTCCCATTAAAATGGAAGGTTGAGAGTCAAAAAGGGAAAGAAAAGGTCGTGGAGGAAACTCCTAAGAGACGACCTAATACAAGGTCTGCTGCATAAAAATTGATGGTAGATGGCTTGAAGGCAAGCGCACGCTCTGCTGCTGCAGTCAGAAGTACACGAACCTTCAAGGTATCAAATTTTAAGATACCTAAATAAAAATTGGTTGAGTTGTCTGGAGAAGAGATTGAAAAGAAAAATAACAAGAAGAAGTCAGAAAAGAAAAGGGAAAGGGTTACAAAGAAGGTTGAAAAGTCACAGTCAAAAGGGAAGAGATCTGAGAAAAAGAGAAAGCGGACACAGGGACCTGGTCCTCAAGCCAGGAAAGTTGAGAATGTCAACTTGCAGGAGGTAGTTGACAGTCTGAGGAAACAAGCAGTTCTCGCTGGAAGAGTGTTTGATATAGGGATTATTACTCTTCCGGGCATGGACTCTCTGCATGACATGGTAGAGATCCAGTCATGGCTGCACCTGTTCAACAAAAAATCCCCCATCCTCCATGAAGAAGAGGTTCGTGAATTCTATTACAATGTTCAATTTCTGGAAGATGGGAGTCTCCTCACACGTGTGAACAATGTTGCTATTTCTTTAAATGAGGAGGTGTTGGGCAAAATCCTTAGAGTGCCTACAGAGGGGACCCGGTCCGTGCAGGGAAAAACTTGCTCTTCAGAATTTGCATCTCTGATTTCTAAGACTCCCACAACCAAGGTTGCTGGGATTTATAAGAAAACTATGAAGAGTGACTATCAGCTGGTCTTCGAGTTTGTCAACAAAGTGATTCTCCCTCGCACTGAAAAAGAGAACACTTGCTACTGCTGCTGACTTGTACATCATGGAGATGCTGTGCAGCTTTGAGGCTCTGTGCCTTCCTAGTCTCATGATTGAACACATTCACAAAACAGTGATTGAGAGGAAAGGAGTACATGGAATGGGGTATGGATACTTTCTCACTAAAGTATTCAATTACTTTCAGATTCCTCTTGGTGTTGGCAAGGTGGGGACAGTTAAACAAACTATCTCTGAGCATACCTTGTTTGAATGTGAATGTATTGAAGGCAGAGGCTTACCAAAAAGCAAGATGGCTCAACTTCTTGAGGACCTGGATCAGCTTAAACATGAGACTGAAGAACTCACTGTGCGTTTGAGTAGTTTAGAGGCTGAAATTGCTGTACTCAAAGCAGAGCTGCTTACTGCACAAAGTGAGGGACCTGGTTCTTCAGCTGTACAAGCACTGGAGAGAGAGAAAAATGAGTTGAAGGCGACGATAACTGCCCTGCAAGAAAAGGCCATCAAGGATAATGATGCTGCCAATGCACGACTCACTCTTGTTATCCAGTCTCTATCCAAAACTCCTCCCTCTTCCTAAACTGTGATCTATTCTTCCCTGTGTCTTTTTTGTTGTGTGGCTAATCATCGTGTTAATGGATTTTTAGTTTGTTTTTAATGTATTTATGTTATAATGGCATGTTGGTTTCTTTATTCCTTTGTTGTTCTTCCTATGTTCTTTTGTGAATGCTTTTCCTCTACTGTGTTGGTTGCTGATTCGCTCTGATCTTGTTCAATATTTATGTTGGCTCAATGGTTTACTGCATATCTTTTTTATGATACCAAAAGGGGGAAGTAAACTGTAAGTAGCTAAATAAGGGAGATCATACATTAAGAGGGAATATACAGAAAGGGGGAATACAAAGTCAGGGGGAACGATTTTGATATCATTGTTTGTCATCATAAAAAAGGGGGAAAATGTTATTTGTAGTTTTGATGATTTGACAAACTTAGGGACCTCATAAAGGTACCGGGTTTTCTACTTGAGTATTGCAGGTGTATTGTTCGAAGTATTGCAGATGAAACAAAACTCAGGGACCTAATAGAGGTACCAGGCTCTTATGATGATGAGCCAGTCAACAGCCTGCTGGAGATGGTGCGGAAAGTAGGTGCACACTTCCCGATGGCGTCAGAAAGTGTGACCCTTCCAGCCAATGGCAAAGAAGTTTAGGAAAGTTACTTGCCTATACAAAAGGCACTTTCCTAAACACTTTTCCTTAGTTTTTGCAACTTGATAAACACTTTTCAAGAACTCTTGCAAAGACTAACACAAAGCATATGCAGAATCATTCCTAGGACAACAGCAACATCTGAAGCTTTTTGTCTAGTTGTTTAGGAATTTATTCTCTTGTTCTTAAATTGTAAACCACTCCTAAATCTATAAAGGAATTGGTGTGTTATGTTAAAAGTCTAGGTTTTCCAGGTGGGATAGCTTAGTGGGTAGAGTGTTTTATTACTTAGGCTTGTTGAGCAATAGAGGTCTATTGCTTAACGGTAAGATTGATAACTCTTTCTTACGTTTGGTGTAATCGTGTTTCGCTTTTGCTTTTGAAGATTAGTGAAAACGATTGAAAATCCTGTGAGACAGGTCGTGGTTTTACTCCCTTAAGCAAGGAGGTTTCCACGTAAAATCAGTGTGTTGATTTTACTGCATTTAACTTTCTGGTAATTTTTTGAGTTAAAGTAAGGGACCTGGTCCATTACTCGTTAAGTAAAGGCATTCATTCTATCAGTTTGTCTATCAGGCAAGGTACAGGAGGGGGTGTCTGTGGTTTCAACAGCCTATGCTCAATAGGAACTGATCAGAGGCCGAGATGTGATTTTCCACACGGATATATCTTGGATGATCCGAATGATAAATTAGGCAGCTGCAGACAAAATTTCTCTGAGCAAAACTGTAACCTTGAATCACGAGAAGTTGAGTCTTTCACATTCCACGAAATGTTGGATAATAACTGGCCTGACTCTGATTATGAGTCTCCCCAGGATGTTTCAGAGGATTGGTGCAGAGAGAATTGTTTGAGTGATTGTTTTTTTGCTGTTGCCACTTACAGTGACGACAACGTTTGTTGGAAGAAAAGGTATCCTCTTTCAAATGGGAGAGTAGGTCCAACGATCGGAGGGAAGGCTTTGATAAAGATAAGGAAAGACAACTCCACAGTGTGGGAATCACCAAATGTTGAAATACGAAAAAAGAAAAATCAATCTACTCTGATCATTTCTGGTTCTGTGTTGTTGGCCAGTTCAGTTTTCATGAATTTAATCTTATTTATTTCGGCACTTGTGTACATTTTTAAGTTTAAATGGAAAAAACGAAAGATAATTGCACAGTATTCAGCTGTTCCAGGTGTGAACTTAAGAAGTTTTAGATACAAAGAGCTAGAACAAGTTACAAATGGATTCAAGGAAGAGTTAGAAACTGGAGCTTATTCAACAGTTTACAAAGCCCTTCTTGATGATGAAAATGGGAAAGTCGTTGCTGTAAAAAAACTTCATAACATGGTAACAGAAGGAGAAGGAGAAGAAGTATTTGAAGCTGAAGTGAATTCAATCAGCAGGACTAATCACAAGAACTTAGTCCAACTCCTTGGATTCTGCAACGAAGGCCAACACCGCCTTTTGGTATATGAACACATGAAAACCGGCTCAATAGCACACTTGCTATTCAAAGATTCTAGGCTTAGTTGGTCTAAAAGGGTACAAGTTGCCATCGACACTGCCAAAGGACTTTGCTATTTGCATGAAGAGTGCAGTACCCAAATTATACATTGTGACATCAAGCCCCAAAACGTGCTTTTGGATGAAAATATGACAGCAAAAATAGCAGATTTTGGCATGGCCAAGCTACTGAGAAAACATCAGACTCAAACAACCACTAGGGTACGTGGAACCAAAGGGTACTTAGCCCCAGACTGGTTCAGAAGCATGCCTGTTACTGTGAAGGTTGATGTGTACAGCTTCAGGGTCTTGCTCTTGGAGTTGTTGTGCTGCAGAAGAAACTATGAGCAGGATGTGGCAAACGAGAACGAAAGGATACTACTAGAATGGGCTTACGATTGCTATGAAAGAAATAAGTTGCATTTACTTGTAGGCGATGATGAAGAGGCATTAGAAGATATCAAGAGATTCGAGAAATTCTTGTTGGTTGCTATTTGGTGCATTCAAAAAAATCCAGCATCAAGGCCTAACATGAAGAAAGTCATGTTAATGCTTGAAGGTTCTGTTTAAGTATCGATTCCTCGCGATCCTTTTTCGTTTATCGATTCTATTTAGATCAACCATGTTTTTTTCTTCCCATTATTCATTTGCTTGGACCTAAAGAGTACATCAATAACCTGTATTTGTATCTCAGTGCACTATGTTTCTTGAAATGTATGAAATATTTCATCTTCAACTTGAAATACTACTTGCAAATCAATGTTTGTTATACAACATGCTCCATTAATTGTTACAAATACAAACTATTGAATGGTGTAAAATAGCAAGTTGGATCGATGAATTCAACCATGAACCTGAAGCAGACATACATTATATCGAATTTAAGAAGTTCTTATGTTCAAAGTTTCCGTATTTTAAGAAAAGCTTTTACATTCAAAGTGGTATCTACTCTCCCATTTGACAATGGAAGTTTCTTCTTCCAACAACTATTGCTTCTATAAATAGCAACAGTACAGAAACAATCTTCTAAACAAGCCTTCTTGCATTCTTCTTCATCAGAAGGATAAATCCTCTAGAAATCTGACAACGGCCAATCAACATCCGTCACCACATCAAAATCATATAGATCTTCAGGATTTCCCTGTCCAAATTCATCACAACTAGGAACAAATTTTGGTTTGCAGCTCCCATACTTGTTATTCGGATCGATCAACGAATACCCTTTTGGACACTCACAATATGGTCTTTGATTTTCACTTAGATGACACACATTGTTGAATCCACAAACTCCACTTCCAATATCTTCAACAATTGCTAGACATATGTTATCAGACAAAGATTATAAAGTACTCCACTTTTGATCCCCCCGTAGATGTACTCTTTGGACGATAATAATGAGTTAAAACACCATAAAAAATCAAGACTTAGCCTGTAATAATTTTCTGAAATTGAAGGAACATTAGGAGGTGTCAACTTCTGAAATTGAAGGAACATTAGGAGGTGTCAACTTCTGAAATTGAAGGAACATTAGGAGGTGTCAACACAAGTCTTTGATTGTTCCTTTTCAATATGTAAACTAAACCAAACTCATCGAATACCAATTGATAACCAGAATTGGCTTCCTCCCCTGAATTAGAAGTATGACTATTGTAATACTCAGCATCATAATTGAAATTCGTCGGTTTGGATTGAGTAACAAGAACCAAATTCCCATCACTCAACATACGAAGATAAAATCTATCAGGAACGAACAAAGGCTCAGATTTTCGAGCAACAAGCTTGTTGTTAATCTCTAGTATTTGAGTAGGCATAAGGGTATCATCAGTCGGACACCGAAAAATTCCCCATAATACTGAAGAACCAACACCAACAAGAACAAAGTTTCCTGTATCAATCCTACCAGTGCTCCACATGATCATTTTCCCCTAGAATCGCGGAGAATTAGTCCCTTTTGAGGATTTAACTCTGCGATTGAGCCTCGTGGCACGAGGTTACCACCATTTGCATACCAAACTATGTTGGCATCTTTAATCTTGGCATAGTATATACAAAGCAAGAACTGATTTTGACTTCGAATTTTCTTGAATCCAAATGCAAAATCTCCAGATTGAGAAAGCCATGATGTTGTTTCATCATTTGCTATGAGAGAGCTGCCTAATGGTATAATTTTGAAAGATGAGTAACATTTTGTTATAAGTGAAATTGATAATTTTGAAAAGAAGACGAATTATCTATTGCGTTTATCATGATATTTGATTGAATAATATTAAAAATAAGACAAATTATTTACTACATTTATGATAGTAGGAAATAGTCTTAGTCACCAATTATTGTTACTTGGTGAGTGTTGTGTACTTCTTTGACTTTCCCAAGCTTTTTGATAATTGAAAATTTTAAATGAATAAAGAGAGTTGTAGGAGATGTGGACCAGGCTGGGTGATGGGTTAATTTATAATAAATAATATTTATATGCCTACTGTGATGTTTGTCTCCATATCCACAAAAGAAAAGTTTTACCAATATAATCTTTACTTATTTAATATTTTTTTTTAAAAAAATTATCCTACAAATAAATTTAAAAGAGTTAATATTATATCATAATTAGGTAATTTGTCCATGCGATCATAAATAATAATTGTATTGACATTGCAAATAATTTTCTATTAATATCCATATATTAAAAATAATGGTAAAATAGGTTCCTACAAAAATATTAGCAATATTACAACATGAATTTGATTATTCGTCATTATCACATAACCAAAGAGCCTCTAACGAATGAATTATTTACAAAATAATTAGTTCTTTAATTAACATTAAAAGAAAAATAAAGAAGAAAATAAGAACATATATACAAAGACAACTCATGGTAAAAAGAATCATTTAAGTTGCTCAGATTATACAACTGTGATATATGTGTTAGGAGAAAATTCAAAAGTTTGTTAACATATTCAAAAAAGAATTACGCTTTAACACAAGTACCCCCTCAACCTATGCCCGAAATCTCAGATACACACTCATACTATACTAAGGTTCTATTATCCCCTGAACTTATTTTATTAATAATTTCCTACCCCTATTCGGCCTACGTGACACTATTTTGTGAGCCCAACGCTGATTGACTTTTTTTTTCAAGTTAGTGCCATGTAGGCCAAAAAGGGGTAGAAAATTACTTGTAAAAAAAGTTTAGAGGGTAATAGGACCTAAGTATAGTATAAGTGTGTCTCTGAAATTTCGAGCATAGATTGAGGGGGTACTTGTGCATTTTCCCTACAATTTTTGAACTTGCATAATGAATTTCTTCAATTGATTGTAACGACCTGTTTAGTCGTTTTGAGCAGTGGAGTTAATTCTGGTAATAGCTGTCTGGGTCGACGGATCCCACGACGGATCGTCATGGGCACGACGGACCGTCGAGGGGGTCTCCTTCCAGAACACTTAGACTCTGAAAAAATTGGGTACTGAGAACAACTCTCTGAACTTCGCGACGGAAGAGCAGGACGAACCGTCGTAGGCACGACGGACCATCACAGACTCTTTAATGAATTTGACTCTCTGAACTTTGTGACAGAAACAGCAGGACGGACCGTCGCAGGCACAACGGACCGTCACAGGCTGCGTAACCCTGACTGGGTCAGATTTTTGTTAAAAATTTTAAGGGGTGTTTTGGACTATTCTTGCTTATGATTATAAAGTTAGTGGTTTAATGTTAATAATCCAATTACTTGGGGGTTAAAGGAGATAACCTTGAATTAAATAGTGGGTTACTTTTACCATCTTTTATACTTAATTATATGATAATTAGGGTAAAAGAAAAAGAGTTTGAAGAAGGAAAAATCAGAAAGAAAAAGAGAGGACGAGCGAGAGAAAGAGAAGAACGCAACTTTGGGAAAGTAGATTGCTTGATCACGATTCTTCGGTGGAGGTAGGTTATGGTTTATGCTATTCTGTAGTAAACTCTAAATAGTGATTGATATGTATTGGGTAATTTTGTAAAGTCTTCTATATGCTTAATTGTGTGCTTGCATGATGTGATTATATAATTGTGATGAATTAGCATGATGAGGCTGTTGAATCTTAAACCTTAAAACCTCTTTGTTAATGATGATGTCTTGGTATAAAAGAAGGCTTGATGAACTAAAAGAATGAGATTAGGGGATCGGGTGTCACGAACCGACACGTAGAAGTAGGGGATCGGGTGTCACGAACCGACACGTAGAAGTAGGAGATCGGGTGTCACGAACCGACATGTAGAAGTAGGGGATCAAAGTGTCACGTTCCGACACCAGGATAGTAGAGGATCGGGTGTCACGTTCCGACACCAGGATAGTAGAGGATCGGGTGTCACGTTCCGACACCAGGATAGTAGGGGATCGGAGTGTCACGTTCTGACACCAGGATAGTAAGATGAATGAATATTGAGGGGATCGGAGTGTCACGTTCTGGCACCAGGATAGTAAAGAGAATGAATCTTGAATTATGCTAATTTACTCAGATTTAAAGAACCTGTTTCCCAAATGAGTATGGTGTGGAGGCTTGAGTCCTCATAGATGTGCTTGGGTTGTGGCCAATGATTATGGTACTTGTTGTTGTCACCTGTTAAGTGTTATGGTTGATTTTATGTTATTATTCGATATATATTGCTTTCTATTTTGAGTTGGCCGATGATACCTACTCAGTACTTGTGCCTTGTACTGACCCCTACTTGTAAATTTCTTCTTTGTTATTTGTGGAGTGCAGCAAACGTGCCATCGACTTCAACTCAAGCGCAACTCTAGCCAGACCTCAGCATAATCAGATTTCAGGGTGAGCTATTATTCCTAGCTCAGACTGGATTCTTTCTTCCACGTCTTGATGTCTTGAAGTTCGAATATGGACCACCTGTTTACTTATTTTAGCTTCCTAGATACTCTTGGATTTAGTAATTTGAGGATAGATGTTCTTGTGGTGATGACTTCCAGATTTTGGGAATAATAAGTATTAAATTTTAGAAGTTATTTATTGATTATATTAATGAGTTTTAAGTCTTCCACATTATATTCTGTTGATTATGGTTGAAATGTTGGGATTTAGATTGGTTGGTTCGCTCACATAGGAGGGTAAGTGTGGGTGCCACTCGCGGCTCGTTTTGGGTCATGACATTGATAAGCGAAAATTACATATCTATGTAAACATAGATAATATTTAAGTTTATATATATTACTTTTAAGTTATAAAATTTAATATATAATATCAAAACATGAATTCTTGGAGCTGAGTACAATAATTATTTTCTGCACAATGAATATAGGTACTATAAGTGTATATATTCAATATAATCGGACACAACAACTTTGCAGAAAAATAAACAACAGAGTTTAAAACATGTAATAAAAAATAATTGATATCATATGCATAAGTTAATGACTGTAAAAAAACATACCAAGATATATAAAATAGAATGCAATAGAACGGAAAAAATCGAGTCTTCTAATGCACAATATCCCTTAAGAAAACTATTCCACTATAATACAAGAGGTTTAAAGAATTACAAACTCTCATGATGGAACAATTTTATTCACCAACTTATTGATACAAAAACAGCAGTGTCAGTAAGTTACTCAACTGGAGCAAATCAAACGAATATTTAATTTTGCAAAAGTAGAAGAACAAGATCATAATTTTTTTTTAAAAAATGAGAAAAAGAACCCTCTATTTTTAGACAACAAAGGATAGTGTGAACAAATGTTTGTTGTGCCTTGTCAGAAAGGTTACAACTACTTAAAAGAGTTGCAACCCATCGGAAAGTTCACTATCTTTCATAAAAATAGTAACTTTTCATAAAGTCACAACTTTTCATTAAAGTCCCAACTTTTCATAAAAGTCACAACTTTTGAAAGACGTTGCAACTCTTCATTAAAGTCACAACTCTTCAATAAAATCGCAACCATTCATAAAAGTCACATCTTTTCATACAAAAATGAAGACTAATTTGGAAATAAATAAATTTAAAATAAAATTCTTGCTTGTGGTTGCGCCACATAGGGACGTAGAATTCTCTTTTATATAAATATATAATTTTTGTTTGGTAAATAAATAAAAACAAAAATTAAACTTGTTTTCTAGTTTAGTTTTTCTCTTCTACCTTTTTCATGTCCATTCTTTCTTTTTTTTTCTCTTATTCGTTTTTTTGTCCCTTTTGTCCTACCTTTTGCATTTTTTCTGTCTTTTTCATCTTCTATCTCTTTTTTAAAATCTATTTTTCCTTTTTAAAAAAGAATCTTTTTTTCAGTTTTCTTTATTTAGTTTTAATTTAGTTTTTTTACTTACGGAGCTGAAGAACTTATCTATTTTACATAAAAATAAGGGTAAAAAATACATCTAAAATATTGAGTTTTTTTAGTTTAATACCTAAAATATTGAGAATGATTCCATACCTAAACTATCAATTATTAGTAAATACAATAATGCACTCTCTTTTATTTGAAAAAATCTTGACATATGACATTGCACATGCATAAAATATTCTACCTTGATAAAAATTAAATAATAAAATATCTATATTAATTAAAATATTTTAAAAAATAAAATTTAAATTTATTTTTCTTACTCTACTTCGCCACCTCCTCTCTGTACTCCCCCTCCTCCACCCCCCCCACCAATCCCCAATCTTTTATTTTATTTTAAAATTTCTTTTATAATATATTTTTTTAAAATTCATACTTCACCACCCCCTCTAAGAAAAAAAACCACCAACTCATTCTAAAAAAGATTGATATTCATTTTACTTTAATAAAAATAGAAATACCACCCCCTCGTTGCTAATTCTCCGCTCCTAATTTATTTTTATATTTTTCTCGTTTTGTGTTTGATATGTACATATATTTTTAGGAACTTTTTCGTGTATCGAATATAACATATAAAAAATTATTATAAAACGGTCTTGCGGTGGTAAGTAAAATATATTTTCAATATGTATATATCTAATGCAAAGCGATAAAAATTTTGTAAGCGGAGAGTTAGGTGGAGTGGTTAGAATTTGTTTAAAAAAGTAAAAAAAAACTAAATACTTTTCTAGAGAAATTTAAAAATGGGGGGGGGGGGGGTACATGAGAGAGTAAAATATTTTACACTTTTTTTTTAAAAAAATTATTCTTCTCAAATGAAAATGACATAGATGAGCCAAATTTTTAACGGATGACATAGATGAGTCTTTTTATAAGTTCAATGACACATTTACGACTATTTAACGAATTATTAATGTTGATTTCTTTTTTTAGTCCACATATATGATTAATAGATAAGAATGACAAGTGAAAAGAATTGAGTATAAAAGATTAACTATTTGTCTTCTTACCACTTCTATATAGCGATGATCGCTAAAGTTTAAATTAATA